TCTGTCTTTAACGTTTGAAGCTCTGTTTTGTCTGCTTTTTTATATAACTTTTCTTCAAGTTCATTTACGTCAGAGATGCTATGTCTATGATATTTTTGTGGGTATGTTCCTTCTGTCCATGCGAAAATACGTTCTTTTGTTGCATCTACATATCCTTTTATCCATGTCGAGTCTGGCTTTTGTATTCCTTAACTCTGTAACACCTTTCTCAAGCTCTTTCAACTGTTGTCCATCTTCCATTAAACCTCTGGTATGACTTGAAACCGTTTGTGTCAACATATCTACAGTTTCTTTGTCGGCTTTAAGGTCTAAAATCCTGAAACCCACCCTGTATTGGCTTTACCTTCTAAAATCTTCGATGTCCGTTCATGGTACCATTCAACCCTTTTTATAATTTCATTGTCTTTTTCATCCACATATTCCTTATCTGCCTTCTTCACTAACCCACTAGCCATAAGTCCCTTATCTACTTTCTCCTCTAACTCACTGTTGACATATGTTTTGTCAGCTTTCTTTTCAAGGCTAACGTTTAAGTCTGTTATTTCAGATATAGAATGTGTATGTCCAACGTCACTTTTCCTGTTTAAGGTTTCTTGTAAGTTTGTAATATTGCAATGGTATGTGTATGAGTCTTTTTAGAATATTCTTTGTCAGCTCTTGTCACTTCACTTGACATTTTATTGTCAACATATGTTTTGTCTGCTAGTTCAGGATGAGTATGTTCTTTCGTTGCATAAGCTTTGTTAGCTCTTTCTTCTTCTTTTGCTATTGCATCGTCTACATACTCTTTGTCAGCTTTGTTGTCAACATCTGCTTTCAAAAGAAGTTCATCTATAGGTTTCTCGTTTAAAGTTCCTTTTGTTGGATTTATACAAACAGTATGGTTCTTATTGTCTTGAAACAGAAACTCATCTGTCAATGGGTTTAATGTCAGTTTTAAGTTTCCTTCTTTCAATGACTCAGATATCTTAGAATAGTTTGAAAAGTTTGTTGTGTTCTTATTTAGAGCTTGTATAATGAGTTGTCGGTTGTGTTTTATTTCTCTCATAGACGCTGTTTCATTTGACATTTTTATTCTAGATAAAATATGCTTTCAATAGAAAAAGAAAATTCAAGAGTTGCTACAACTAAACCATTAGATGAACTTTTTACTAATGTCGGTCAAAAGTTTGAGACAGAGACCGTAAAACATGAAGGCTATCGTTTTGACTACCCCTTAAGATGGTTAAGAGACCCATCCGTCACAAAAGCTATTGGCTTTCGTAGAATGAAGTTCATTTCAGAAGCCATACATGGTTTCCCATTTACGGTCGCTTTTGAAGTTCGATACTATAACAAAGAAAAACGTACGTATGAGAAATTTGAACAGGGAAAACTTTTACAAGTGAATTTGCTTGTAAACTTAGAAACAACTCTTCAAGCTTTTCAAGAAAAAATAAACGATATCTATCTCGAATATGCAAAACAGTACAACATTGACGAAGGAGAGTACCATCTCGATATTATATATGACAGGAAAAATGCAACTGTTAAAATCAATAGAATAGAAGACCTTGGAGAAGACGTTTATATTTCTACAAAATATAACAACTTGGCATGGTATAGATTTTTTGAGGATGTTAAATCAGCCTGCAGAATATCCAGTACACCCGAACTTTTATGAAGTCGAAAACCCTAATGGAACATATGAAAATGTTTTCGACTCAGATGCTATTATAGTTCATGCTTCATTTTCTGGTGCACAAAACTCTTTTTTATGCTTGGCAAATGACTTTTACGAAAAACCTACAAAGCTATATGAACCACCGAGTGGAAGTATTTCAGACTTTCAAGTATGGTTTACAACAGATGGAAGAAAGAGAATAGTTCCATTATACCATGCGTTTTACTTAGAACTTAGTCTCATATACAACTACTATCGAACGGTAAAAATATAATTTTAATACGGTTGAGGTGTTGGATTTGGTTGCCAACTTGACTGTGGTGCAGGTTCAGGCTGTTGTATAACAGGAGCTTGTTCTTCTGGTTCAGGGTCTTTAGGTATAATACCAACGAACTGACCTACTCTTTTGCCAATATTTTTGACTCCGTTCCAAATTCCTCTTCCGACGGTTTTTATTCCATTCCATATACCTCTTCCAACATTTCGAAAGAAGTTTCCTATTCTTCCAAAGAAACCCATTTTACTATATGTAAAAATCTAATGTCCACCTAGTCTCTTACGTTTCCTTCTGAGTTCCATAGCATTCTTTAACTGGAGCTCATACATTCTATTTCTCCTCTGGTAGAAAACATACTCTGGGTCAACTCCTGTGTTCGCGTCATCTGCATAGAGTTGTTTATATCCCACTTCGGGGTTTGTATAAAACTCTTTCCATCTCATATTTGCATACCATGGTGGTAAGCCTAACGCAGCGTCATTTGACATGGCAGTTTGCATTTGTACATCTGTTGGCACTTGACCATAGTTTGCCATTGCAGTTTGTATTCTAACTTCATTTGGAATATTCTCTGGGTTTGGTTGTCCAGGTTGCTGTGCATTCGCTAAGTTCTGTGCGTCCATTTAATATTAGATAAAAATATCTCTTACGAGTACATATACTGAACATTTGCTGGCATTGGTTCATCTTCATATTCTCTATATCTTTCTGCCACGTCAAATAAGTAAATGACACAATGGAAAAAACCTAAAACAAGTAGTCCTATTTCAAACCACATTTACTTACCAATAAAATTTCTTTGTTATGACACTTTCTCCAGTTTATAGGACCTCTCTCATATTCTATCTTATCGTATCTAAACTCATAGTCATGTATGTCCTCTAACCATCTCATGACACTTTCCAAACCACTTTTATCGGATGTAAAGTAAAAGCATGGATGGTTATGTAAAACGTCTAAAGTTTCTAAAAGAGTCTCTCAAAGTCCAGTCTACTTGGTATTGAAAATCCCATGTGTTATAGAACGGCGGGTCCACTATAAAGAAAACATTTTCCTTGTCTTTATATTTTTCATACAAATCTGTCCAATGACATCTCACAAACTCTATACCCTCAATATATTTTTCTATGTTCTCTTTGAAAACATTTGTATAGTTAAGATATAAAACTTTTGACATAAGTGTTTCAATGTCATGAACTCTTATAGAACCACTATACAATAGTCTAGAAGATATACTATCCCAGTCAATATACTCTGCCTTTTTCAAAACCTCTCTGACAGTATTTTTCTTATCTAATGGTATACGTTCCATCTTACCTATAGGTATCTTTTCTTTCAACTCACTCAATATTTTGTTTGTGTCTGGTATATGTTTGAGACGGTTCATATAGTTGTCGAAGTCATTGCATATAATCTTTGAGTCTGGGAATATTATATGGCACAAATGAGATATATAGAAACTTCCACCGAACAAGTCTACAAATGTTAGACCATTCGGTAGTTTCTTAAGTTCTCTCAATAGAATATCTTTACATTTACTCTTATTTCCAAAGAACGGTAACGGTGGTTTTGTAAAATTCATTTTATATATACAATAAAAATGTTTTTTCTTCGTAAATGAGTGTAAATGACCCAAAAATATATTTTAGGGTAGAAGGGTATATCTACCCCGTTTTCTACCCTCTTTCTACCCTCTTGAATTTTCATGAATTTCTTCGTAAAGACTTTGTCAAGACTTCTTCGTAAAGACTTTGTTAAGACTTCTTCGTAAAGACTTTGTTGAGACTTCTTCGTAAAGACTTTGTTGAGACTTCTTCGTAAAGACTTTGTTAAGACTTCTTCGTAAAGACTTTGTTGAGACTTCTTCGTAAAGACTTTGTTGAGATTTCTTCGTAAAGACTTTGTCAAGACTTCATCGTAAAGACTTTGTTGAGATTTCTTCGTAAATGACCCTAGTAGTATATTTTTGGTGTAAATTTCATGAAAATTCAAGAGGGTAGAAAAGAGGGTAGAAAACGGGGTAGATATACCCTTCTACCCTAAAATATATTTTTGGGTCATTTACACTCATGAACTTTCTTGTCTATGTTTTGTTAAGACTTCTTCGTAAAGACTTTGTTGAGACTTCTTCGTAAAGACTTTGTTGAGATTTCTTCGTAAAGACTTTGTCAAGACTTCATCGTAAAGACTTTGTTGAGATTTCTTCGTAAATGACCCTAGTAGTATATTTTTGGTGTAAATTTCATGAAAATTCAAGAGGGTAGAAAAGAGGGTAGAAAACGGGGTAGATATACCCTTCTACCCTAAAATATATTTTTGGGTCATTTACACTCATGAACTTTCTTGTCTATGTTTTGTTAAGACTTCTTCGTAAAGACTTTGTTGAGACTTCTTCGTAAAGACTTTGTTGAGATTTCTTCGTAAAGACTTTGTTGAGATTTCTTCATAAAGACTTTGTCAAGACTTCATCGTAAATATTTTGTCAAGACTTCTTCGTAAAGACTTTGTCAAGACTTCTTCGTAAAGACTTTGTCAAGACTTCTTCGTAAAGACTTTGTTGAGATTTCTTCGTAAATGTTTTGTCAAGACTTCTTCGTAAATGTTTTGTCAAGACTTCTTCGTAAAGACTTTGTTGAGATTTCTTCGTAAATGTTTTGTCAAGACTTCATTATACTCATTCATCCTCAGGGCTAGAAGGCACGAAGTGCCTGGAAGCCCCACTACCTTTTTTTTTTTTTTTTTTTTTTTTTTTATATTTGTTCATAATGTGAATCATACCTTATAATTCATTTTGAATGATTATGATGATCTTTCCTATTAATGATATATAATATTGTGACAAGTCTAACCAAAATCATATATGTTTGATGTTCGATACTCAAATCTAAAAGAGACTGAAAAATAATTTCTAAAACAAGGTTTTTATTCTTAATCAATAGCTCCAATAACTCCAACTAAATATCCAGATCTGATGATTTTAGATAAAATTAAGTATTGAATTCAAATCTAAATGAATTTGTTGTCAATAAAAAAAAACAATAAAAAAAATTTTTTATTGTAATGGCAGCAAAGCCTCAACCTAAAATTAAAGTTATTTTCCTTGGATCTGCGGGTGTTGGAAAAACCAGCATTATTCAGCATTTCATGTATTCATCGTTTAATGGTGCTTATGAAACTACAATTGGAATTGACTTTTTTATGAAGTCAATTCCTGTTAATGGTCAGCCAGTAAATCTCCAAATATGGGATACGGCAGGTCAAGAGCAGTTTAAATCGCTCACTCCTGGATATATCAGGGAAGCGCAAGTTGTTGTTCTCGTTTACGACACTTCTGATCCAAAAACACTAGAAGCTACAAAAGATTGGTATAATTCAGTTCTAGAAATATTAGGAACCCCTCCAATTTTGTTTTTAGTTGGAAATAAAATCGATTTAGGTAAAAACGTTAATCCTCAAGACGTTAAAGCTGTTGCAAATGGAAAAATGACAACCATGGAAACATCAGCTAAGACTGGTGATGGAATTATTGCTCTATTTAAAGCGATCGCTGAATCTATTAACGCAGAGCCTACACCTTCGCCTACATCGCAGCATGTTGAAATCACTGCAACTCCTGTTCCTGTTCAAAAAAAGGAAGGCTGCTGCTGAATTTAATAGTTTTAAATTATTTTTGTTATCATTTTAAATTCAATATGGTTTTTTATTATGCCCGTTGTACCAAATTAGCGTTAAGTATAATGTTGATATTTGATATTTGAAGATTCAAATTATTGAAAATATTTTCAGATCGATTCAGTAACGATATAAACAGTGAATTTAATATAAAGATTAGGTGATATAAAAAAAACAATATAAGATAAAATAAAAATTATCTGTAACGGGAAAGGCCATTGTTGATCTTATTCACATCGAACCCGAGAATAGTATCTAAATCATTAATTGTCTTCCCTTCAACACGCATAAAAGAGAGTTGTGGGATATGAATAATGTTGTACATCTTGGCAATTTGTTCATTCGAATCAATATCGACTTTAAAGAATGTAACATTGGAGTTTTCCTGCGCAATTTTCGGTAATTGCATTCCTAATTTTTTGCAAGGTTCGCACCATGTTGCAAAGAAGTTGATTACTACTAGACCTGTTTTTGATTTGATTGCTTCTACTAACTCGGAATAATTTCCTTCGAAGCTTATGATATTAGAAGACATTACGAAATAATGAACAACTTAATTGAAATTTTGTGAGAGTTTCAAATTTATCGAAATGGTCTGGCAAATATCATTACACAGATTAATATTTATTTAAGCTTTGTATAGCTCTCACAAAAATTGAATAGTATATTTTTCGGTAATCCATTTTGTTAATTTTAGATAAAAACGACAAAATTAAATAATGTATGTGATTCTATAACATATTACTCTGATAATTGCGTGTCAATCAGAATTGAAAGCTATCTTTCACAATTTACAGGGGGTTAAGGTCAATCATAGTGACTCAATCTCAATCATAGTGGAGTCTCAATTTTGAGACCCCATTTAATTTTTAAGATGTTGCATAAAATAATTGTTAAGGGTGCACACGAGAGGATCATGTAAACTTCAGAATTTAGAACCTTATTTTTAGGCATTATCTTGGCTACCTATTTAGGCTCGAAAAGCAAAAAATATCAAAAAATACAACTTGACTCCATTCTGACCCTTTCATGGAGGTAGTTTTTATCCGCTAGTATTTTCCCTTTGAATCTCTTTACAATTCGAAATCAAATTCAAAACTCAGTAGAAGAAAGGAAGAATCAACTTACTACGGTTGTAATACGAATAAATACATATATTTAATTATTTTTATTTACATAATAATTGTTTGAAGCTCATATTCCAACAAATTTTTAAATAAAAACATTAAAATGTTGAAAATGTTCATATATTTTAATAGGGTTTTGGCACTTTATTGAGGAATTACTACATACATAGTCGAACTGAACTTGATATTTTGAAATTTAAATTATTTATCAAAATTAAAATTTAACTTGAAATTTATAATTATTTAGTCATATTTTGCATAATTCTAAGTAGATTTTGTAAAAAATCAAGAAAGAAAAAAATTAAAGTGCTTTATTTTTTCTTTTTTATAATAATACATATTATTATATAATTAACATATTCATAATGAAAAAAAAAAAAAAAAAAAAAAAAAAGGTAGTGGGGCTTCCAGGCACTTCGTGCCCTCTAGCCCCGAAGATGTTTAGTATAAATGAAGTTCTTATATACGGGTCTTCCAGGAGCTTTTCACAAAATATATATGTTTTCATGTTTTGTCACTTTTCTGTCACTTTTCAGGTAAAAACATTTTTATTATATATATAAAATGAATTTTACAAAACCACCGTTACCCTTCTTTGGAAATAAGAGTAGATGTAAAGATATTCTATTGAGAGAACTTAAGAAACTACCGAATGGTCTAACATTTGTAGACTTGTTCGGTGGAAGTTTCTATATATCTCATTTGTGCCATACAATATTTCCTGACTCAAAGATTATATGCAATGACTTCGACAACTATATGAACCGTCTCAAACATATACCAGACACAAACAAAATATTGAAAGAGTTAAAAGAAAAGATACCTATAGGTAAGATGGAACGTATACCATTAGATAAGAAAAATACTGTCAGAGAGGTTTTGAAAAAGGCAGAGTATATTGACTGGATAGTATATCTGCTAGACTATTATATAGTGGTGCTATAAGAGTTCATGACATTGAAACACTTATGTCAAAAGTTTTATATCTTAACTATACAAATGTTTTCAAAGAGAACATAGAAAAATATATTGAGGGTATAGAGTTTGTGAGATGTCATTGGACAGATTTGTATGAAAAATATAAAGACAAGGAAAATGTTTTCTTTATAGTGGACCCACCGTTCTATAACACATGGGATTTTCAATACCAAGTAGACTGGACTTTGAGAGACTCTTTAGAAACTTTAGACGTTTTACATAACCATCCATGCTTTTACTTTACATCCGATAAAAGTGGTTTGGAAAGTGTCATGAGATGGTTAGAGGACATACATGACTATGAGTTTAGATATGACAAGATAGAATATGAGAGAGGTCCTATAAACTGGAGAAAGTGTCATAACAAAGAAATTTTATTAGTAAGTAAATGTGGTTTGAAATAGGACTACTTGTTTTAGGTTTTTTCCATTGTGTCATTTATTTATTTGACGTGGCAGAAAGATATAGAGAATATGAAGATGAACCAATGCCTGCAAATGTTCAGTATATGTACTCGTAAGAGATATTTTTATCTAATATTAAATGGACGCACAGAACTTAGCGAATGCACAGCAACCTGGACAACCAAACCCAGAGAATATTCCAAATGAAGTTAGAATACAAACTGCAATGGCAAACTATGGTCAAGTGCCAACAGATGTACAAATGCAAACTGCCATGTCAAATGACGCTGCGTTAGGTTTGCCACCATGGTATGCAAATATGAGATGGAAAGAGTTTTATACAAACCCTGAAGTGGGATATAAACAACTTTATGCAGATGACGCGAACACAGGAGTTGACCCAGAATATGTTTTCTACCAGAGGAGAAACAGAATGTATGAGCTCCAGTTAAAGAATGCTATGGAACTCAACAGGAAACGTAAGAGACTAGGCGGACATTAGATTTTTACATATAGTAAAATGGGTTTCTTCAGTAAGATAGGAAACTTCTTTCGAAATGTTGGAAGAGGTATATGGAATGGAATAAAAACCGTAGGAAGAGGAATTTGGAACGGAGTCAAAAATATTGGTAAAAGAGTAGGTCAGTTTGTTGGTATTATACCTAAAGACCCTGAACCAGAAGAACAAGCTCCTGTTATACAACAGCCTGAACCTGCACCACAGTCTAGTTGGCAACCAAATCCAACACCTCAACCGTATTAAAAAATTATATTTTTACCGTTCGATAGTAGTTGTATATGAAACTAAGTTCTAAGTAAAACGCATGGTATAATGGAATTATTCTTTTTCTTCCATCTGTAGTAAACCATACTTGAAAGTCTGAAATACTTCCACTCGGCGGTTCATATAGCTTTGTAGGTTTTTCGTAAAAGTCATTTGCCAAGCATAAGAAAGAGTTTTGGGCGCCAGAAAATGAAGCATGAACAATAATAGCAGCTGGGTCGAAAACATCTTTAAATAAATATGGTTCATCTCTTGCATATCGACTGTAAATATTTGCTAATGGAAGTTCGACTTTCTGATTTAACATTCTTTGCAAATAATACCATGACATTGCAGTGAATTCTGTATATATTTGTTCGTCTTTCTTTGGATTGTCTTCGTAGATTTGAAATGACACTTGTGAATTTTGTTTGTCATATACAATTCTCACATAAAGTGTGCTCTCGGTATTTGCATATTCATCAGCATATTTTGCATAACATGAATTTATTTTATCTTCTATATTTTTTAACGCAGTCTGTAGAGAAGATGAAAGGTCAACTTGTATTAGCTCAATTTCTTCCCACATTTTTCGTTTCCCTTCAGATATATAATCTATATGAAACCTTACAATAAATGGAAAACTTTTATCTTCTACAGACACAAACTTCATTCTACGAAAGCCAATAGCTTTTGTGACAGATGGGTCTCTTAACCATCTTAACGGGTAGTCAAAACGATAGCCTTCATGCTTTACGGTCTCTGTCTCAAACTTTTGACCGACATTAGTAAAAAGTTCATCTAATGGTTTAGTTGTAGCAACTCTTGAATTTTCTTTTTCTATTGGAAGCATATTTTATCTAGAATAAAAATGTCAAATGAAACAGCGTCTATGAGAGAAATACAACACAACCGACAACTCATTATGCAAGCTCTAAATAAGAACACAACAAACTTTTCAAACTATTCTAAGATATCTGAGTCATTGAAAGAAGGAAACTTAAAACTGACATTAAACCCAATGACAGATGAGTTTCTGTTTCAAGACAGTAAGAACCATACTGTCTGTGTAAATCCAACAAAAGGAACTTTAAACGAGAAGCCTATAAAAGAACTTCTTTTGAAAGCAGATGTTGACAACAAAGCTGACAAAGAGTATGTCATTGAAAAAGTTCAAGAAGAACATGACAGAGCAGATGCAACATATGCAACAAAAGAACATACTCATCCTGAACTAGCGGACAAAACAATATGTTGACAATAAAATGTCAAGTGAAGTGACAAGAGCTGAAAACGAATATTCTAAAAAGACTCATATACATACCATTGCAAATATTACAAACTTACAAGAAACCTTAAACAGGAAAAGTGACGTTGGACATACACATTCTATATCTGAAATAACAGACTTAAACGTTAGCCTTGAAAAGAAAGCTGACAAAACATATGTCAACAGTGAGTTAGAGGAGAAGGTAGATAGGGGTTTATGGCTAGTGCGTTAGTGAAGAAGGCAGATAAGGAATATGTGGATGAAAAAGACAATGAAATTAAAGAAAGGGTTGAATGGTATAATGAACGGACATCGAAGATTTTAGAAGGTAAAGCCAATACAGGGTGGGTTTCAGGATGTTTAGACCTTAAAGCGGATAAGAACATACACATACCATTGCAAATATTACAAACTTACAAGAAACCTTAAACAGGAAAAGTGACGTTGGACATACACACGATTTCTTCGCAACTGTTGGTATAGAAATATTGAAGGAACGGTTGAAGGAGCTGGTGGGGATGTATTAGATTGGAAACCTCCTAACTTTCCACAAGGTTTAACATCGGAAGAAGACATAACAACGATGAGATACATTAGATGTAGAAATGTCTATGTCATGGAGGATGAAAAAAAAGTTAAATTCACTGCTCAAGATTTATATGACAACAAAGCTGACAAAACATATGTTAACGATGAGTTAGATAAGAAAGCTGACAAAACAGAAACGTGAGTTAGATAAGAAAGCAGACAAAACAGAGCTTCAAACATTAAAGACAGAAATGCTTCAAACATTATATCCTATAGGCTCTATTTATACGTCAATGAACTCTACCAGACCAGAAACAGTTCTGGGTTTTGGAACTTGGACTCAAATAGTCGACAGGTTTTTGTATTGTGCAAACTCTTCAAAGGAAACAGGTGGAAGTAAAACGATTTCAGGTGAAAATTTACCTGCGCACAGTCACTACATAGATTTAAGTACATCTCAAGCAGGTTGGCATAAGCATAAATTTTGGGATTGGTCAGCAATGAAAAAAGGTAAAGGATATGATGTTAAAGACGACGTTCAGTTTGCTATAAATTGTTTCTGGGGTGACACTCAGGGAGATGGAAACCATACACATCGCGTTACAGGATATACACAAACAACGGGACAAAGTAAAGACTACATGCCACCTTACATGACAGTTTACGCATGGTATAGAATTGCTTAGTCGTCATTTTCAACTTCTTTAGCATATTCGTCAGGAGTTGTCTTATATTTGTTAGGAACTGTCTTTGAAAGTATACCACCTTGAACTTTGACAAGTTTGAAACGAGGTCTGACAATAGTAGTTTTATCTTCTGCTTGCAGTCTGTACATTTTGCCATGTTTGCCTAAAACTTCATAATATTCTCTTGTATACTTTCTTCTATTTTTACGAACACGAATGGAGTACCTGTCGAGTTCCCATTGTTGTCATAGTCAATAGTATTTTCATATGGGTCGCGTTTAGGTATTTCTATTTTTACTTTGTCACCTTTCTTAAGTTTGAAGCCTGGCATTCTTTCTTGTTTGTCTCTTTTGACTAAACTATTAAATATATAGTCTTTCTCTAAGTCGGGGTTGTTTTTCATTTCTTCGGGGGAGTGGTTTCCCAAACCTTTTTGTTTACGGCTATTGTAAATATTTAAAACTTGTCTCATCTTTGCCATGGAGAAATGTCTATATTTGTCGTCATATGACATTTCATTTGCTTCACCACCTTGTGGTTGTTTAAGTCTCTTAAGATTTTTATACAACTGTCAATGACACCAAGAGCAGAATGGTTTTGGTCGACAATGAAATATTGGTTTACATTTTTTGAACGCAGATAGTTTTTTAATATCGTCTGATTTGAAAGAACTTTCACAGTCAGATGTCAGTTTTGTTGGATGGTATTTGTCAACAAATATTGTCAAAGCTGCTAAGATATCTAAAATATTTTTGGACTGTAATGGTATGGCTTCACAGTATCTTGTGTTTTGACCGACAAATATTAGCCAGTATGGTGGTCCATCTTCTCTATACCTCGGAATGTTTTCCAAGATATCCATAAACCAAGCATTTGGTGTTGAACTAAAGATTTTTATCATGAGTGCTTTCTTTGTCGCTTTAGAAACATAGGGTCCTTGTTTGGATTCGTCATTTTTTACCCTATAAGAAATGGGTTTATTTGGCGCATTAGCAGGAGTTGCATCCAGATTTTTGCCCGCAGTGGGAACAATAGCCAGAGGTGTATTTGGAGTTGGAAGGAAGATTTTGAGTACATTAGGTATACTTAAAGAGAAAGCACAACCTATTATACAAACTGTACAGAAAGGTTGGGATGTAGCACGAGATGCAGCAAATCTTATTCCAAATCCTGAAACAAGAGGAAAAGTTCAAGGATGGATGGACAATGTAGGAAGACAAGCAGGAAACTATTATAACAAAGCAAATGACTACTATAACCAAGCAGGACACTATATGGACCAAGGTGAAAGATTCTTTAACAGAGGATATAACCATGCACAACAATGGGTAAACAATAACCAAACCGCAACCGCCTCAAACGTGGGGAATGTAAATTTTTTACTGAGATGAAATGAACAATACAGCATTGAGACAAATGGGTTCAAGATGGATTTGTCGGCTTCCAGCAGTTACACAACCACGTGTTTGTCAAGTTCTTCCTATACCTCAGGAAGTTTTAGACCGACTTAAAAAACCTAAACAACCAGTTGAAAACAAAACAAACTAAAATTTTTACTGAGATGAAATGACCGAAGAAGTTGAAACGGTAGATTTGACACCACAAACAAAAAAGTTCAGAACCATTGTCAAAACCTGTCAAAGAACTTACAGATGAAGAGAAAAATTCAATAATAGAAAGTGCCAGGTCTGGAAATACAAACCCTAACTACAAAGTCACTTTTCATAGAAATGGAACGGCTAGTATCTCAAAAAAGAAACAGACTCTCACAAATAAAATATTGAAGTCTGAAGGAGCTTTCGAGACAACAGATGGAAAAGTTTACTTCACTGACCAACAGTTCATTATAGAACATCTCATTGACTTAGAGTCGAAATATTCTAAACTTTACAACAAACACAAAAAGTTGAAAGGAAAACAAAAACAAATGGCATATGATATTTATGAAGATGTTGACGACACAACCATACCTGCAAGTGAGGTAAAGTCAGAGGAACCGAAAAGTGACGAAAAACCGATAGAAGAAGGGAAGCCACAAACTGAAGAAAAACCAAAACCAAAGGTTAGTTTCCAAACTAAACCAAGTCAACCTTCATTAGCTGGTATGGGTTGGCGTCAAAGACTTTTGGCAGCAGGCGGTTATGTAAAGTAAAGAAAAAACATTTTTTTATTTTTATAAAAATGCCCCCGTATAGAATGGATAGAAGGTCTGCTAGAATAAAAGCAGAGTTGCAAAGATATGGTTGGAGAGTTTCGAAGAAGTTTAAATATAAGAAAGGAAGACCCATAAAAGTCTATGACAAACTGGCTGGTCTGACCTATGAAATGGACTTAGAAACAGCACGCGCAAATTATCCAAACAGATTAGAGAGGTTAGAAGAAGAACGTCTTATGGACATGCCTTTCGATGTTAGTGAGCCTCAAGTTGAAGGACACGACGGCTTTGCCAGATTCTACTGGAAACATGACGAACAATTGCATCCTTTGAGAAGGAAAAAAGGAAAAGGTGAAGACAAACATGCTCCCATGGAAAGAACAAGATATGCATATGAAAAGTACCGTGAAGTTAGAAGTCAAATTACATCTGGTCGAACCTTTACAGTAAACTTTGACGAAGGAAAGAACAAAGAAGGCTTCATGGGTGTACTTGCTGCCATACAAGATGGAAATAAGAAAGGATACAATCTCAGATTGACCATAACAGATTTGGACGGTCATATATACTATGCGCATGGCAATGTCACAACAGCCGCACAACTTCTTGACGCTTTCAAGACTACAAAGAGAGAACAAATGTTTGACTCCGACTCAGACATTTTGAATGCAATTGAAGGAATTGTAAGCGTGAAGTTCGAATGGTACCAACCTAACCCTCAAGCAGTCAGACAACATGCTGGATACTTCCCGTTCATAAATAAGTCTGACATTGACTTGACAAGGTATGGAATTTACAATTCAATTGAAACAATTGTCAATGAACCTTGCATTCTTACATGTCTCAGGAACTCTGGTCTTGTTACAGAAGAGAAGATGAAGTATCTTGAGTCATGTGTGAAGACAAGGTACATTCTCAGAGGTCAATTGGCAAAAATTGCACCGTTGGCAAATGTCAATATCCGAGTCAACATACCTACAGCTAAAGGTTCTTCACATGACGACTATGTTGTTGAGTTCAATTTACCATGGTTGAAGATTGCAATTGTCCACAACCACTTCATGTTGAACGAAAGTCTTACAAACCCATTGTTCGGAAAAGGCAAGTGCAACATTGTCAGAGCTGTAAACATTCTTTTCGAGAAAGGCTTGTTGGAACCAATTCCAGATGACAAGCTGACAGAAACTTTTGTACCAAAAGACGAAACAAACTTTTCATTGTTAGCAAGACCAAAAGTTGTTCCAGACAAAGTTCTAGCACAAAAGAAGTACACAGTTCCAAAAGGAGTTGGATTGTTCGGATACCAACCTGAACCAGAAGAACTTCCAATGAGGTTGCAAGAACTTCAAGATGCTATAAACAAACTTCCATTGAGACATCCAATTGACGTCAAATTGTATTGGAGAGCATCTGAGTTAGGTCAGAAGGTTTTATATGAAACAGGTTGCTTCGACGATGTTTATGAGATAACAGGAGAAGTTTCTCAGAAGATAAGAGACTCTTGAATTTCCACAAACTGGACCGATTGGTTGCGACAAGTTCGACTCATATGAAAAGATATACTATGTCGACCTTAACGCTGCATACATGAGGTTTGTCCAATATATCCCGACTGGAATTCCAAACGAAGACGGTGAGTTCCCAGGAAGGAACTATACAGTTGGAAAAGTCATACAACAACTGTATGATATTAGGAAAGCTTCAAACCCCAAACTTGCAATGACACTCAAATTGCTTATGAATTCGACATGGGGATATTCCATAAAGAAACCTCAAGAGATGAAGAGTAAACATTATGAGAAGGTCGACAACTTTGTTGAAAGGTTTTCTCCTTTTGTTTTGAAGTACGAATTCACTCAAGGTCAAAGTGGCTTAGTAACCACATTAAAACCTATTGTCGAACATTGGTCTTACCCTCAGTTCGCAAAGGCAGTCCTTGACAACTACAACAAATTCTTCTCGGAAGTCAAATCCAAAGTGAAGGTTTACTATGAGAACATCGATGCACTCATGACGAACGAAGAAGGCTATAACAAACTCATTGAAATGGGCATGGTCGGTGAAAAGATGGGTCAATTCAAATTGGACAAAATTTTCACCGAAGTTCATGTCCTCTCCAAGCGTAAGTACTGGGGCATACTTGAAGACGGCACAGAAATAAAACATTGCATGAAGTAAAAAATTTTTATTCGAATTTGAATCGGACAGGTCGAGTTACACCATTCTTGGTCTCAAACTCATATATAACCTGTTTGTTTGTATTTTCGTCGACTATGACACGAGACACGAACATTGACCAAACGGACAAAAAGTGTCATTTCAGATGGTCCCGCAGCCAATCGCATTCGAGCACTTCGAAGAAGCCTTACGTTCCAAGGGAGAGGGTGTCTGGTGCAAGGCAGAGGTCATGAAACTCTACGAGCAGTACATCCTCAATGCCTGGGAGGACAAATCGTCCTTGGATTGGCAATTCTACCAACTCCTCTGGGACGACCTCCTAGGCAACTGGGATGACGAAAGAGTCCAATTCAGGGGTCAGGAACTACTTGTCCAAATTACCCTTAATTTAACCCACTTAATGAACTAAACACCTAAATTTACTCGGGGTTTCCCCCTAAAATAAAATTTTTTTACTCTTAGAACCACTCGAGGTTCTCCTTACGGTTGTTGAGCTTGTCACCGTCAATGTGTCTGACCCTCGTCTTCTTGTCTGGATTTGGAACCCATTGAATTGCGACAAGCTTGCCCATGGAGATTGAACCGCGATTCCGAAGGTTAAGGTTCAAGTGTCCCAAGTTGTTGAGGACTGGGGTAAGAACCTTGCCTGTCTCCTTGTTGCGGATTTGGTATGGGTAGGGTTGGGAAATTTCGTAAGCGTCATCGGCAACAAGGGTTGCCCAAACTTCCTCTTCTTCGTGTTTCTCTTCTTCATCTTCTTCCTCTTCTTCTTCGTGTTTCTCTTCTTCTTCGTGTTTCTCTTCTTCCTCGAAAATTCCTTCTTCAATTTGGTACTCACGAATTACGGTGTTGCATGTTCTGTCCTTTCCGAGTACCTTCCAGATGGCATCTATCTCTTCGAAGAAACGGTAGATGAGTCTGGCAAGGTCTCGGTTCTCTCTCGCGTAAATGCGCAAGGTTTCCGTCAAATCATTCAGGACTTTCTCATTGGAAGCTTGGTTCATGAGGAACTCACCTTTAAGTCCCTTCATCTCTTCCATAAGACTACTTTGGAGAGTCTTAACGGTGTTTGTCAGATGAGCTTTCAAATTCAAAATTTGAATTTGAACTGGGCGCTTGTCTGGCAACATTGAAAGGACATCTGCCATTGTGTTCGGCTTCGGTGCTTGTTCGGACATCGAAAAAATGAAGTGGTTTGAGAATGACGGTTTTACTTCAAAAAGCTTGTTATGACGGTTAAGTCATACAACAAGTTTAAAATAATATCTTGTTCTTCTTCTGAACGTTTGTTGTCTCTTCCGATAAAAGTTTCGAACATGAGAACCAAAAAACGTTTTTTGAGATTGCGGAAGAGTTCAGGCAAACGTTCATATTCTGGATATGTTGGGAGCAGTTCAAAACATCTGAGCTGACTTTCGGACAAAATTGGGACAATGTCAGAAAATTCATCTTTGGTCGGACTGCTTGAAGGTAAGTCCCTTACATGTAAGTAGCTCTGGTAAAGTCTTCTCATTTCTGCTAACTTTTGGAGTATAGCTTCGTAGTTTAGAAGTTTTAATTTTAATTGTCTTATTCCACTCTTTACTTCTAAACGGTAAGTATCCATGAGGTCAAGAGTAGCTTTGGTAGCTTTAAGTGGAGCTATCTGTTCCTTGACTTGTGCAATTTTGGTTGCAATTGTGGTTTGAGCTCCTTCAAGTTCGCCGTCTATGTCGTTCTCAACGCCTTCAACCATGGCTTGAAACTCTTCATCGGTCCATTGAGATTGGTGTGGGACGAATTTAACTTGCTTCATTCAAAAAATGAAAAAAAATGTTTTTACTCAAAACGTTAAGGTTGACTGAACTGGTTGGATGTCGCCTTCACAGGTTATGTAGAACGGCTGACCCGAGAAGTGAAGGAGAGACTGAATTGCCAATTTCATATGGGGTAGGGGGTTCTCCTTGTTTGGTATTTTTATCCAAGGACGTTTGTTTAGGAACTTAACAAGAGCTTCTCTTTTGGCGTCCTTTATGTCGTCGTAGGCTGTCCCGTCTGGTATTTGAATTGGAATTCCAGTCGAAGTCTCGAGCTGAAGTGTAGACCTTCCAGAAATACTGGTGAACTTGACCTTGGGCTTCATTACCCTGCGCAAGTACTGCTTAACAACTTCATTTATCTCTATAAGGTAAATTGCCTCGTCAAATCCTTCTGGCATTCCGAGTCCTTCCATCCGACAGGAAAATATTTTCCCGACAACTGGAAAAAATTTTCCCGACAACTGGAAAAAATTTTCCCGACGACAGGAAGAACTCTTCCAGTTGTCCGTCCGTAAACCATTCAAATTTTCGAAAATTGAGAACTTTTGGTCGAACTTCAGAAAAAGTTTTTCCTTCCGACAGAAAAGTTTTTTCCTTCCGACAGGAAAGGTTTTCCTTCGACAGGAAAGGTTTTTCCTTCCGACGGTTAAAGCACAAACAGATGTCCGACGTCCCACCAACCGAGCCCATATCCCAACCAGAGAACCGAAAGCTGCAAACCACAACAGTCTCCCAGCAACTCAGTTCCAGCAAGTACCTCCGATTTACTACCAATTTCACCTCAATGTTACTACCCCACCACAAGCTTCCCGAACTACCCTCCTCCTCAGCCTATGCCTTACTTCCCCAACCCTTGGATGTTTATGCAAAACCCTGCCCCACAATTCCAATCTCAATCCAAGAGAGACAAGAGTTCGAGGAAGGTCTGAACCGCTTACGCAAAGAGTATGCTAACTACCCCAATGGAAGAAGACAGGCTCTCACTCTCTTCCCTCAAATCGACCGATTCGACTCGTACCACAGATTCGGTTCGTGACCGTGAAGACTACCTCAAGCAGTCTGAGAGACTCTTCATCCTACAACCATTTACAGTTGGAGCTCTCAAGAACATGCGCAATTACGAAAGGTCAGACACCAGCTGGAGACCGCAAAACAGACGTACTCGCAAGAGCAGTCCAGCTCGTCAAGACAAAACCGAGATAGTCGACTTCATTCTTGCAGCTTGCCCATACAAGTAAAAAAAATAAACAATTACGAGTTAAACTTTTTACTCTTTCTTTCTGAGTTGTTTAGAGCTGGTTTCTCTTGTAGGAACCTTTCGTACTCTTCCATGGTCATGTAATTGCGAATTTGTACGCAATTCCAGGTTCGTTGTTTTGAACCTTACGTATGTAACGCTTCCATCCTCCTCAGGGAAGTAAGCTGCTAACATCTGACCAAGTTTTCTCGGTGACTCGGAGCTCATAAAAATGTCACTTTTTAAACGTTAAGTTTTTAGTCTTATTTTACCCTTTGTTTACCCTTTGTTTACCCTTTGTTTGTCAAGGTAGTATTGGAGTGCAATTTCTCCAAATTCTCTGTGTCGGAGTTCTTCAGCATTTTCCAAGGTGTTCCTGGAGAACTCAAAGAAGTTGTCAAGAACATACTGCCATGCTGCTCTTCTGAGTTCGTCGGTATTTTGGAAGTGTTGCACCTTCGAGTCTTCGGACATGAAAAAATAACACTTTTTCTATTAAACCGTTTACAATTTGAATTTTGTTGCTGAATTCAGCAAAAATATAATTTAGGGTAGATGGGTATATCTAAC